ATATTTTTATTTACATTTACATAATTCCCAGCATTTTAAAAACAACAACTAACAGGGTAAAAAAAACAAACAATAAAACAAGAAACAATATCTGGTAAAGGAAATGTAATACTTCAAGTACTTGAAATTCATACTAAATAAGTTCAAAAGGATAAAATTGACACTTTATGAGTTTATGCTTAAATCACTTTGTTCAACTTAATCAATATTTTTTCATCGGACTTACTTTTCATGTTTCATGAGAGCTACTAAACTGTTGCTAGTGATATCTATAATTGTGTTATATGCACACATAATCACACGCACTTGAAAAATTTAATTTAGAGAGTTAAAATCAAATTCCATTCCTACTTCCAAAAGCTTGAGAAATCGAAGTTACCGAAATGATGAAGAAAAACAACGATATTGGTGGCGAACAAATGCTTCGAATGGATGGCGAACAGATGCTTCTAATTGGCGAACAAACTCGTTGAAATATTTTCCACAAAGGTTTTTCCAATTAAATTTTCCAACAGTTTTTATATTTGTTGGAATATTTCAACTTTAAATTAAGTTGTTGGAATATTCATTTGAATTTCTAACAAAAAATTTTGCAGTTGAAATTTAACATTTTTTACCTGTATGAACGCGAATAACACAAAAGACAATAAAAAAATAATAAAAATTAAAATCAACTACGTAACATCAAGTACCAAAATAATGAATTAAACCGAACCAAAAAGTAATACAAAGCATAAAAATAAACTGTTCTACGTGGCCACGTTTACACGTTCCAACAGCCTTCCTCTCTCCTCTGGTCCCGTTTACGCCAAATTTGCTTAAAACCATAGCTTAACAAATCGACGGTTGCCTTCTCCAGCGGGCCGCCGGGCCTCGACGGCGGCCACCTCTTAGTTGCGCGAGTCAATCCTCCTTAGCTGATGTCGTAATTCTCGATCGGAGTGGTTGTATGGCTGGATCCAAAAGGGCTTTCGCCGCTATCCTTGGTTGCCTTTTGGACCGTGAGTCATCGACACTACAAAAAAACACTAGAATTCTAACGAAAAATTCCAACGGTATAAATTTCCGTTGGAAATTCCAATGAATATTCCAACAAACTTAATTTTATGTTGGAATAAGTGTTGGATAGTTGAGGAATTCCAACGGATTTTTTCCGTTGGAATAGCTGTAGAAATTTATTTCCATAGGATTTTCCGTTGGATATTTGTTATTCCAATGGCCGTTGGCCGTTTTTCCAACAGATTTTTATACGTATGAATATCCGTTGGAATGCTATTCCAACGGAAATATAAAAAATTCCAACGAAAAATTTCCTTTGGAATATAAGAGTTTTTTTTGTAGTGCGATCTTCCGGGCGGAGCAGCGGCGGAGGTGCGGTGGGGTTGGGTTGCGAGCCTGACGACCTTGTTGGTTGTTGGGTCCGAGGAGAGTGGACTCTACTCTTGGTCCCGTTTGCTCCTGGTGTGTGGGTCGATGGGACGGCTGGCGTGACGAATCGGGCCGTGGTGTGGACTGGTTTCAGATTGCCGACGTTGTGGTGGGGGTCTGAGTCTGTTTTTTCCTTCGGCTAAGAGGTGGGGTTGGTCGCCTGGATGTGTTTTGAGTTCGTGGGTTTTGGTTCCAGTTAGGCGGGCGTTGCAGTTTCTGGTTCGAAGACTAGGGGCGAGATCCAGTCCGAATGTGCTGTAGTCGTGGTTTCAGTGTTTTTGTCCGTCTGCGAGAAGGGCTTTATTTTGTGTTTAGGGTTGATTTTGTCTGTAGGTTGTGATTTTTCTGTGTTTCTCTGTATT